CATTCAACCATCTCTTCCGAGCAAATACTCCTTTTCCTCCGGCAATTTCTCCTTCCCTCATTCCCCGCACCCCTTGCCCATCGGCAACACCTGCAGCAGGGGTCATCTACACAACAGCACGTTCCCCATGCAATTCTGGTGACCCTCCGGAGCAGTATTTATCAGTGCTGTCCACAGAAAAAGATGAGGTTCCATGGAGAAAATAGTTTAAGATGCATCAAAAAGCATCTAAATAGGCATCAAAATGTTTCTGCATCAGAGCTCAAATCAGGGTCCCTTATGCATCCTTCCTGCTACCATTTCTCAAGTTTTGCAGAGTTTACTTGGCAGCCTTGATAATTAATGTTCGGATGCAAGACTTGGGAGAAAGTCGAGCCAAGTCAACACAGATCTCAGCTAGAGGTGGAAGAGATCTCGCAGATCTTCTCAACACAGGCTGAGGTCTGCATCCACTGGAGAGAATCAATTGGGAGTGGATTTATAGGCACTACTTATTAAACAGGACCTTCCGATTAATTAACCTCAAGATAAACCAGACTTAAAGTCTAAAAGTAGCTTGTAGCTTAAAGCATGGATTCAAACTTTGAAGTGAACTTACCTTATCATTTCTTTCACATAGAAACTTTAACCTTTGAGCTCGCTTGTGCATAAATACTCCATCCAAATGTCCCGTCTCCACTGACCGGATTTCAATAGCTTTCTCTCCCCAGCCCATTATTTGATTGGAATGAATGTAGGCTGTCAAAAGGAAGCGTTTGGTAGGTGTTACCACGTGTGTTGAGCTAAATATTACGCAACAGGCAGAAAAGCTCTCATCAGCTGTTATTCAAAGCCTACGTAGATCAATGGCAAAGCTCTGACTGCCGGAGGCACAGGTGGCCAGGCATGTGTTCGCAGGGATAATAGCCTCTACATAGCACTTTTCATCCAGAAATTGCTCAGTAATTTAAACAGAAGAACTATCCTTTCTTCCAGTTTCTGTGGGTGAGGAGCTGGGCAGTGGCTTGCCTCCACGGGTCGTGGAGCTGAGCAACAGCAGAGGTAGAAGAGCAACCCAAGTGCTCCCAGCTCCGCACTCAGCCCCTCTTCCACTCAACCCAGTATCCCACCTGTGCAACAGCTTATATTATCTTATCTAAGATGAACCGCAGCTCAAATCTTCAAATTGGCACTTGCTCTTATTGCACAGGATTTAGCAATTACATCTCTTAGCTGGCTGAGATAAATCTCCATTGATAAAAGCCCAAATGACTCCATCTCAGCATTCTAGACTCCTCATCTTACTTGTCATTTGTATTTTACGCAGGTGAAGAGGAAGGGTGACCTACCCACAGAAGTAGGCATTTCTCCCCACTGGAGCACCACATCTTTAGTTATCCGTCCATAGGTGTTCACATATACGCCTTCATCCTCATAGCACACAAGCATCTCCATCCCGTCTGTTTTAGGCAGGATGACAATGGCGTGAGGAGTAATATTGCCCTGAATCTGCAGTTAAAATAAACCCTGAAAGTCAGAATTACATTGAATGGAGGAACGGGGAAGGGGAAGGGAGGAGAGCCTTAGGAAAACAAAACCCCAAGCCAACCCAAGAACGAAACCCTCCCTCGATTCAACAAACAGGCATTGGCTTTCAGACATAACCTCGAAGGGGAATAAAGCTGTCGTGTTTACCCTACCATCAAAGCTGTTCGATACGTCGTGGATAAACAGGTTCAGTAATTATAGAGAGATCACAACACACACGCCCCCAAGACTGACGGCTGGCACTTGGCTCCAACACAAGTAAGTGACTGCTGACTGATGAATCCATCTCCTATTCAAATTAAGGCAAATAACCCCAGAATTTTACAGGTAGCCCTAGGGAGGAAATATTCCCGGGTTTTTAGCAGTCTCTAGCTCCAAGGGCAGATACAGTGACCTTCCACCCACGTCTGCCCTTCTGTAGCTAAGACAACAAAACCATCCCCAGCTGCCCATTTCTCCCTATGCTTCTTGCCAGCTCTCGCAGAGGCAGCTCTGCTTCTCAGATCAGATTCAGCAGTTCCTGGATTTGATTAGTGACTCAGTTTCTTCAGGACCAGTTTGCTTGGGCCAATAGCATGGATGGAGCTTAAACGAGCCAACAAGGAAATCCTTGTCTACAGTATTTTTTGTAGCACTGGTTCTCTCTTGAAATAGCTGATGGACCTGAGAGAGGTTCTGTGGTGAGTCCCTGCTGTCAGGGGTTTGGGAGTTTTGAGCAGCAGGTTTACTGAGATTTGGGCTACCCTAATCCTGCAGCCCTCGCCTGGGCAAACTGCACAGCCTCAGCAGGAACAGGTAAGTGTTGGTGAGCACATCTGGGACACCATGCAATGGGATAGTGCGCTGGGCAGCCAGCTCTTGGTGGGTCTATGTTGTCCAACAACTAAGAACCTGGTTTCATGGTGTCCTGCCCTACAGAGAGCTCCATTACCACTCCATGCAGCGTAGGGACAGATTCTTCCTTCTGTGGGATACGGCAACCTTAAACCTGACTGCTCAGGCACGAGGACAGAAACAGCCTGTGCAAATAATGAACCTGAAGTATGTGACACCTCCGAGTCCCCTTTAAGAGTGTACCAATGAAGATGACACCGGAGAATGTCATACCCATGGCAAGATGTCACCTGACTGGTCACCATTTCTGGGCCACCAAGGGCCTGTCCAAACCTTGCTGATGACCTGCGTTAGTCATGCAGCAGCACTCCCCCGTGTACTCACGTGAGATGGTATGTAGATATCATAAGAGTTCCCAGAATCTACATCAATCACATGGAAACCAGTGTGTGATCCAAAGATAACCTTGAGTCTCTGACCCTCTTCTACAGTGAGATCCACGAGCAACGGCTTGTGCTGGAGATCTGCAAAAGACTTTTATAATCCCTTCAGTGAGTATCACAGAAAACCAACAAATCCCCACAGCAGCAGCCTGATACGGTTTTGAAAGCATATTTGTTTGACTGTGTTTCCTACGAAATGTGTGGTTATTTATATTCCTGTCTCTCTGTTCCTATGTCAGATGCCTCAGAGGGTGTCACCCACTGGCTCCAGCCATCCCAGCAGATAAGCGCTCACCCTTGCCAAGCACAGCTCTTTTCCCCCAGGAGCCCAAGGCCAACCTGAGGATTTGGTCTCTACAGGAAGGCGACAGCTCAATTTTACACGAGCACGCGTACACGCAGCGTGCGGGGAGCCCCGCTGCTGGTGCTGCTCAGGGTAACGAGATCAAAGTCTGCAGAGAGCTGTGACCACCCACCTCCCCTCCTGGCAGGGATCACCGCTCCGGTTTGGGCAGTGAAATGAGTCAGATTAGCAAAGACCTGCTTATCCCTGCTCAATCTAACCTGCTGGATGCAGGCTGGGACCAGCTCCCTGGCATGGACCGATCCAGGACAGAGCATCTCTCCGTGGCTTAGGTCCTCAGCAGGAGGGTGAAACACCCCCAGGGAGAGAAAAGAGCTCCTGGCTCTCTGTGCAAGGACTGCTCTGACTCCTGACAGGGAAAAGCAGTGGGTGGTATTTCCCACCATCCCGACAGATCGCTGCCAAGGATGCTCAGCACCCCCAGACTGGAGAAGCAGCACCGGGAGCACTAACCAGCATCCTCACTGGAGCCTGCAGAGGCTGGATCCCAGGCCACCTTAATGCTGCGGAGCTCTCCGTGTCACTGCGCCCACTTATTCTGGCTTTTGTTCAGAAAAAGCAAATGTGACCTAATACTGAATAAGCCCATTTGTGCTGGAAGGATGCAAAATGAGATTACTCAGCATGAACATCTCCAGAAGGTATTGCCCCTTGTGACTTGTCTCTGCATAGAGCTTAGGATGAAAAGTGCTTTACAGGACTAAGTACAAAATACCCGTTGGCAGGTTATAGAGGAGAAAGGTCTCACTGAAGGAAACCGAGGTAGATGAAAAGGGAGAGAAAAAGAGAGAAAAAGAGTGGGTCACTTCTCCTGGACTTTCTGTCTTGAAACAGAATCCATGCTGCGGAAGGGGAGGGGACCTTGCAAAATAAAAATGGAAAATAATGCCAAGCTGTTTTCATACTGTATGTGAAAAAGTAGTCAGAGGTTAAAAAAACCAAAGACAAACCCCTGCCCCTCCAAAACCCCAACTCAATTTTACTCATGGACATTTGGTCAGCTTTCTGCAAACTTCCCAAGTATATGAGCATACGCTAATACTAACACTCAACTGTTAGCCACAAGCAGAACGTATCCCACCTCTTCAGCCAGAATGTATCCTGTCTCCTGTGCCTACCAGGCATCCCGAGGAGCACAGCTACACAAGCAAGATGCTTTTCTGCTCTGCTTAGTACAGAAATCTCAGGTATTTACAATTACAAAGTGTAATTTGGTTAAAAGATAAACATACCTTAAATGCCATAAACTTGTGATATGGTTTAGGAGCCCAAGCGTAGATCTCTACAGCATTCTTTAAGGCAATCACCAAGAACTTGATTCTTTCATATTTCACTAAAATGAAAACGAAACTGATTTTAAAAACATTCACTTTCTTTCCAACAAGGCTGAACAACTCATCTCCAGGAACAGCTTCTCAGGCTGTCTCTCTGCTGGCTCTCATTTAGTAAAGCATCCACCTAATACATACAAATGAATTCCAAATTCATTTGTGGCTATGGTCTACTCATATTTTAAGAGAAATTGTCAGGTTACATCAAAGATTAGAGAGCAAAAATGCATCCCTCCAGACATTTTTTTTCTGGAGAGGCCGCTCACCAACTTTGTAGTGGATGCATCCCTCCAGGTCCCCAACTGTGATCCAGCCCTGCTTCTTCTCCACTTCAGGGTCGTTGTGTAAAATTCTGTTTCTCAGCCAGGAGAGATAGTACACACGCAGCTTGTTCTTCTTTCCTGTTGGCAAAGGAAACTTCCCTGTCAGAGCAGAGCATGCATGCACAGGAAATCTTGAGGTTTCAGTGCTTATTTTCACTCATGAGATGATAAAATGAAAGTTTGTTTCACAATGAAGTTGAAAATAGTAATTTAGTTATTGTGTTGGTTTTTTTCTTGGGGGAAAAAAACAGGAAGTATGGAAAGCAGAGCCCAGACCTCCGTCTCCCAGAGTGCAGGTGGATACTGGCAGAGCTGGGCTCTTGCTTCCCGCAGGCTGGAAATGTTCCTTTTCCTATAAATTAGTGTTCATGGAGAGACGGGTGGGCACAGCGGGACCGTGACCCCAGATCTCTTACAGCTCAGGGCTTACCCAACGACTCAACTACCTGGTTTCTTTCCTCTCTTCTCCTTTGTACAACTGGAGCTGAGACGCGAGCTCCTCGGTCTGCGGCAGGCACCGCCATTTGCCGACAAGCCCGGTGCTGGGCTCTGCAGTGCCGAGGGGCTGCCAAATTCCCACATGCCTCTTGGATGGCTGCGATGTTGCTATAAAGCTCCCTGCTGCTGCAAAGCCCCACGGCAGGGACAGGACACAGCTCGCACTGAGGCCGGT